CAGGCCAGCTTCAAACTCACAGAAATCCTCCTGCCTCAGGTCACTGGGAAGAGCTAGGCTTAGTGGCACACACCTTCCATCCCAGCCCTTGGGAGGCAGAGGCAGGAGGAATAGGACTTCAAGAGGAACCTTGCTAACTAGTGAATCTGAGGCTAGCCTGAATCTGTCTCATTTAAAACAAATACAAAGAAACTGGAAAGATTTATAATCCCTTTTCACAGATGTTGCAAGCTAAGGCCCCAAGGACCAATGACTGGCCCACTGTCAAGGTGCTGGACACAGACCTGCAGAGCAGGGCTTCTGTGGAAGTTTCCATCTCAGCCTGCTTTTGTTTCCAGTGGACACATTCTTCATAGGCCACTGCTCACCAGCACTTCCTCTCCTTGGCTGTGGAGGTGAGAAGGCGGAGGGGCTGGTAGGAAAACCATCTTGCACACAGCCCTCGGGGGTGGGTAATCGGAAGTGCTTCTTTTCTCATGAGAGTCATCCCTGGCTGTCCTGTGGAAGCAGGAGCTGGTGACGATGGATGAAAACGAGGTAAAGATCTCAGGCCAGACTGATGGAAGTGCTGCAGCAGATTTTCCACTGTTGAAAGAAATAGCAGAATTCCCTAAAAGATCTCACTGCAAAAGTGCCCACCCAGCCGTGGAGGAAGCAGGAATAACAGCACAGTGAGGGATCTCCGGGCAGCCACAGGGGAAACTGGGCTGAGGCTGCCATGAGGAGGGGAGGGAAAGCCAACGGATGGAAACTCGGTGCAAAGTGGAATCCAAACCAGAAGCAGAACGCTTGACACACATTCAGACGAAGGGTGCCACTGCAGCTGGACAGGCTGTGGTGGCCCAGGCTGCCACATTCTCCTTGGGCATGGCCTCCTTAGACTGCCAGGGCAGGTGAGCCTCTCTCCACTGGCTCACTGAAGAGAGGTGTTTGGGAGGGAAGCTGGAGCCTCATTCCCAGGGTCCCTTCTGTTTTCTGTCAGCAGTAGGGAAAGACATTCTAGCAAATGACAGTCAGTAAGGCTTTAATTAACTGCAGTATTTTGTATTTCAAGATGCAGCGAGAAATCAATTCCAGATGGCAAAATGAAAGACACTTATACAAAAGAATGATCCTCTTAGTTGAGAGAAATTTCCATCTCCCCAAGGTGCAGAATTCTGCAGGTCCAACAGGCTCTTTTGATGGACAGTTAGGATGGGACTGGAAATTTTTATTTCATATGTAAAACGTAATGGTTCGCTTCATGTCTGCCTGCTTTTCATGAGCCTGTTTTCAAGGCTCCTGCTTAAATGGCCCGACGCAGTCAGCGCTAACAATTTTATTTTTGGGACTCCAACTTGGAGTAGACAAGAAGTATGGAACTTGCCTTCCCCCTCAAGCAAGCTGGCTATTTTGAGACTTCTCTTCCTAGGGAGAGGAATGATATTTCCAGCTGTGGACTTCTGGCACTTCCCTTGGCCTTCTGTAAACAGGGAGCCAGGCTTCCTGGTCCAACAGCGACTCAGGATGGGCCTGTGTAACACCCCCACACCAGGCCGCAGCCAGGACCTGTGCTGTCTGCTCTCAGGCAGTTGATATGCATCCAAGAGCCACTTGAAATGTACACAGAGTGGGCACCTTGCAGGGTGCTGGGCACAATCTCGGGCACTGATTCTTTGTTCTGCCAGAGAGAAATTTTCTTTTCAGTGACAGGGCTTGAACCCAAGGCCTTGACCCTACAAGGCTCCAGAGACTTGTTCTTTGTGGCTCCTATTTTGTGGGTAATAGTCTAAACACAACGTTCTCCAGCCGGAGCCCTCTAAGCCGGCCACCTGTCCTAACAGAAGCGTTGCAAAGAACTCGTAGATTTTGTTGTTGTTTGTTTTTCTGCTACAGGGTCTTCCTATTGGAACTCACCATGTAGACTAAACTGGCCTCTAACTCAGAGGTCCACCTGCCACTGCCTGTCCAAAAGCAGAATTAAAGGCATGTGCCTATGCCTAGCTATATATATTGTTTTGAGCTGACAATAATAAACAACGTTTCTGGCTGAGCCATGGCCACCAAACAAAGAACCCTGACCACTACGGGAAGAGCCAAGCTGTAGTTAGTCTTAAGTACACACGCTCCAAATGAAAGCTGCTGGCCACCAGAAAGGCCGCGCTGCAAACACCTCAACATGCAGCTGTGGTCATGGGTTAGACAGCCAGCGGAACACACACATATGTGAGAACAGGCTACAGGGCTCCTTCCACAGGTCCTTTCTCTTTCACCGTAAGGGATAACCGCAGGGAATGAGCATCTACAGTTGGCCCTCTACCTCTGCGGGTTGCATGTGTGTTTCCAAACCAAGGCAGTAGTAATATTTTGGGGAAAACCTGGGCCCATCTGAACACATACAGACTAGTTTTTCAATTTTGATTAATCCCTAAGCCAAAATGGCTGAGTATGACAGCCATTTTGAGGTAGGGCAATGCATACTTGTAATGCCAGTAGTTGGGAGTTCAGCCTGGGTTATGAGTTCAAGGTCAGCCTGGACCACATAGTGAGACTCTGTCTTAAAAACAAATGAAAACTACTGAAAAACAAAAGCAACAAATCCACCCAAAACAACCCAACTATGCAGCATTCATCTCACATGAGGCATTACACCTAGTCTAGAGCTATTTAGATTCAATGGGAGGATGTGCTTGGATTATTTACATACACCGTGCCGCTTTACAGAAGAGCCAGAGCGTCTGCATGGGGCGTGTGGTCCTGGAATCAGTCTCCTGTGGATACTGACAGACAACTGTAATCACCTGTGCAGCTCTAAACATATACACAGCAGGCCTCACTGCAGACTAGAGTTAGGTCTCCAGACATCTGCATTTTTCAAAGGGCCCTGGGGGGTTCTAATGCATTCCCCAGGCGAGGAAGAGGCTGTCTCTCCAGAGCACGCTGTATTCAGTCCTCATCAAGAAGACATTTAACATAACTCCCACTGACACCTATCTGCTGGCTCCGAGGTGGTTTCTGACAGTGTAATACATCAAGGAAGGCGCTTCACCGGCTGTGACCACCGGCTGGGAGGAAGGGCGGCCTGACATCTCAGGGCCACCATGGAGCTGGCCTGAAATCCAGCCTCTCGTGAATGAGCCCAAAGAGAAGTGTTAAGAGCTGTGTGACTATGGCAACGATACCCAGGTGTGGGGAGCCCACGGGCTTCCTCAGCTCCCCTGGCTGGGTGGCAGGTGGCGGAATGGGCTGTGCCGTCTCTCCAGCAGAGCAGGGCCACAGGGCAGTAAGAGGAATCGTTGGCTGAGCACCAGCGAGCTTCTGCACCCGTCTGGAGTATGGTGCATCTTGACCAAGGGCTACACATCTTTTTCTCGCCACTTGATTTGTGTTTAGAATTTCAAAATGTTCGATGCATGAGTTATACTGACTAGTGAGAACAGTCTAGACACTGATGAATAAATATGGCTCTAGGGCTGTGTCTAGCCCAGTGGTCAAAAGAATGGAAGAGAGAGAGAGACAGAGAGAGAGGGGGGGGGAGGGAGGGAAGAGACACAGGGCTCAGGATCAAAGCTGAGCATTCTAAGTAGCCAGAAAGATGAAGCCAGCAGTGGTGATGCATGCCCTCAGCACTCAGGGGGGCAAAGGCAGGCAGATCTCTGGGTCTACCAAGTGAGTCCAGGACAGCCAAGGCTACACAGAGAAACCCTGTCTTGAAAAACTTGAAAGACACACACACACACACACACACAGAAAGAGAGAGAGAGAGAGAGAGAGAAAAAGCAAGAAAGAAGGAAGGAACCAGTGAGCCTTCCTGCTGTGATAGTGATGGCACTGGACAGAATGGCTCTAGGATGTGGGACAGATTCAAGGGCCCAGATTTTACCATGCTACTGGCTGACAAGATCAGTACCCATACAAAAGCTGTCACGAAAGGTGGCCTCATGAGGTTGTGGTCATGTAACTGAGCCTTGGTTTCAAGTGAGCCGAGAGAGCAGGGCGACATGCGCCCTGATAAGGTGCCCATTCCCGCGAGGTGGCCTGACTCCCACTGCAGACCTTGATTTCCAGAGCTGGTGGTGTGCAGCATGGGCAGAGCAGGCCTGGGCCTCGCCCTGGGTTGTTCCGGGTGCTGACCTGGTGTGCAAGGTCAGCATCACATTCCTAGTGGCTTTTCTTGGTAGTGGTATAATATGCCGCTGCCGTGCTGCGTGGCCGCCATGTTTCAGGGAGTCTGGAAAACACTCTGCACTTGAAATGTGAGCGAGTGTGGGACGTCAGCTGGTCCTCCTTACTGTCCTCCTTCCCACAGCATCTGCCAAGAAAGCCCTTCCAAGGGCCCTTCTTGGTGTCTCAGAAGACAGTGCCCTCCCTGTCCAGGAGCAAAGTTTTCACGTGTGTTATGTCAACAGGGAGAGCGCCTCACAGACCCTGGCTCCAAGCCAGCTCTAGGTCTGCCTCCACACCATCTCAGGACCCACCATATAAGCAAGAGAAACAGCCGGCACTTCTCTTCTGGAGAGTCCGGACACATGGGAGAATACAGGGTTAACTTGGCCATGTCACGGAAGGCAGCAGATTAAGTCCCAGAAAGCAGCAATTTACATGAAAAAGTGCTAACCCTGGCAAGGTCTTCATTAAGAGGGGCCAGTATCCCACTCAGTCACTGGCCACTTGGTTTACCCAGCCCCCAAGCCAACTGCAGAGACAAGGAGGGAAGAGGCACCCCTGGCTGCAGAGGCTTTGACCTCAAATGCAGAGGGAGGAAAGGGCGAGACCCAGGCTTCCTCAGCCAAGCTGCAGGACTGGCTAGTAGGGCCCAGAGCTGGTGGGGAGGGCTATGTGGTAGGTGACAGGGACAGTGATAACTCAACCGTCACAGGCAGCATGGAGGCAGCAAGTGAACCATAATGACCTTTCACCCTCTGCTGCCCAAGCTTCAGAATGGGAAATAATCTAAAAATGCCTTTTTATAACCCAGGCTTCACTCAGTTTCCCTGCCTGGGATAGAAAATAAGACAGGGTATGGGAGAGATACTTTAATAACCGTCATGTCCTCAGAGGCTTCAAGACTTAGGACCTGGCCATGAGGATGAGCGTGTCCAGAAATGAGTCGCTCAGGGTTCCTGGCAAGGTCTGCATGTTCCTTACAGTCTCTTTTTAATCAGCTTCTCCAGCTTGCGGATGCGTGAGGATTCCTGCTCTGGTGTTGGGGCCATCAGGGACAGTGTGCTGGAACCTTCTGTCCCTGAGGGCGGAGCAGGGAGCCTCTGTCGCAGAAGTTCCAGCATGCTGCTCTGCTCGCTCCTCTTCAGCCCCTGAGAGGAAGGGAGAGAAGGCTGGTCAGGGCTGGCAGGGGAAGAAGCACCTTGTCCTGCAGCCCGCCCAGCCTGGGCGCTGCTGGGCTAACTGCATACTGGCCAGAACCCGAGGACCCTGCAGTTTTTAGGGAACTACTGGTCCTGGGCAGCAGCCAGGAAGATAAAACTGATGAAGGAAAAAGAGGTAACAGGGCAGGAGAAGGAAAAGTGTTGGAAAGAGAAGAGAGAAACGAAAGCGGAAGGCAGGACAACACCCCTGCTCTTCCTTGCAGGGCACCCATCCTCCACTACACAGTGGGTCTCCCTTGGGCAGCGTGGTCCTCAAGATGCTGCAGCAGTCTGTGCGACCAGGCTCAGCCTCCAGGAAAGGCTCCCTGCAATCTGGGATGAAGGCTGAAGCCAGAAACCTGCACTTTGAGGTGGCCCCTTCAGTTCTAAATCCATTCCTTAGGGTGGATGGATGTACATACGAGAGAGCGTACCTTCATATCCAGTATTTTCTGGAAGGTTTCTGTGTTGCAGTCTGTAAGGAGTTTGATATAGTTGTCAACAAATACCACCAATGGTTCATGAGGGGCCATCACCACCTGTCAATGGAGAGACAAGAGGAGGTCTTCAGGCTGGAGGGCAAGGACAGCTTCCTTCCTTGCCAGCTGGTCACAAAGGGAGTCTAGCGCAAGCTGCCCACACACAACAGCAAATCCACATTCAGAAATGCTCTGATGGCTCACTTCAACTTGATGTTCAACTACAGCAGTATTCCCAGGAGCGGCTGAGTTACCCAGGTTGCTTTTTAACAGATGGGTTCCTGGTTCCCCCACGCTGGAGGCTTCTAATTCCACCAGGAAGAGACCATCTGGGAAACTGTTAGTGTCTTCTGCTGGGGTAGTTCATGGCTGGCGGGGTATCCATGTGGGGTACCCTGTCTGTAACTGAGATGGGGCAGAAGCAGAAGGAAGGAATGCCCGTTGATGTTCTCAGAAACAAACATCCCTAACTGGCCTTACTCTTTTGAAGACCTGAAACCTGGAGCCTCGATTCAGCACACTCATTAACTACCAGTTAATACACAGACAGATGGCATCACCACCCTCAGATACATTTCATTTGGTGCTGGAATATGCTGATTTTTCCTCCCCAGTGGGCTGATTTTGTTTTGAATTCCTGAGAATATACCAGAAAGTGGTAAGAAACAGTTCCTTCAAAAGTCCTTTGCAGACATTTCCCACAATGCATCTCTTCTCCCTTGAGCAAGCCAGCTGGGAGGAGAGTCATGAGGCTGTTTGCAGTTTCCTCCAGCACAATCTCTAGGTTTCCCAGGACCCTCACCAGCCCCTGTCCTGAGGTCTAAAGCCAGCGAGCCCCTGCAGCCCTGTTCTCCTGCCCTCATTAGAGTGACTGTGGAAAATGGGTCTGAAGAGCCTGCTCTCATGGGAACAGAGCCTTTGCCTCTCAGCCTGCCAGCCTCTTCCAACAGCCAGGTGGAGACCGGAGGCAGGCGCTGCTCTACCAGTGCAGAGTGCAATCTCTGCTAAATGAGGCTTTAAAAAGCCCATTTGTCAATTAGATTCAGTTACTACAACATCTGTTCAGAGTTCACTTAAAGGTACAAAACACGGGAAGCCAAAGAGCTTCTGGGGAAGGCAGTAAGTGACAGCTGTGCCTGAAACTCCTGCTGAGGGGCAAAGGGGTCCTGGCTTCTCCTGATTTGCCACCTGACTCTCAGCTGGTAGAGCTACTAGACAGAATTCACCTGTCAGAAAGACTTCCCGATCTCTAGGTAACTGGGCTCCGATTTTCACCACCACAAAGTATGGACAATCCTGGGGGCAGTAGAGAGGGTGCTCTGTGTCTGCAAACCCAAAGCTTCCTGGAAGAAGGGTTCTAAGGCAGGACCAGTCCCTCTGGACAGAGTCCCCAGAGAAGACACACCTTGAGGATCATTTCAGCCCGGGTCATGCCTTTCACGACAATCTTGGTGTAACTGGCAGGGGCCTTCCTCACCACCTGAGAGCCAATGGAGGGGAGATCGAGCAGGACCATCTTCAGGGAGTGGGTGTCCAGCAGCAGCTGCAGAGCAAGCAGAGCGTTACAGCCTCCCTGTGCAGCACAGCACCCAGTATGTCCCGCTGAGCAGGCGGGTGGAACTAACTCACTCTGAAACACAACCCTTTCCCATAACAGAAGACTTGGAAAATAGAGCTTTAAAGGAAAAAAATAGCTTCCGCTGTCCAGGAAAAGCTACCTCAAGAAACCACAGTGAAATGTGGGCATGGTTCCTGCCAGCCAGTGTGTGTGGATAAAAACCAAATTTGAATCAGACTGAGTGTATGTAAGGCTTCACACCTGCCCTTTCTAGTATACACATCATTTCCCATCGTGACAGCCTTAAAACATTATGATTTTTAGTGGATACACCACACAGGCGATGTGGGTTTAGGATACAGTCAAGTTCTCCTACTCTACTCACTCCCTAGATTTTATCATTAGTAACAGACCCTGAGGGGTGGGGAAGTCAGTGGTTAACTAGTTTGGTTCCCAGCACCCATAAGGTGACTCTGACCCCAGTTAGGGTGACCCTCTGCCCTCTTCTGACCTCTACAGGCACTAGGCATGCATGCATACCTGCAGATAAAACACTCATACACTCAAAAGAAAAAATAATCTAAAAAAAATCAACAAAACCCAAACAAACCAAACCAAAAACCCAGATGCTGAGGCAGCAGCCTCCTCACTGATTCTGGCTTCATCGCTGGCACGTCCTGAGGGGAGAGCCTCTGGAACAGGCCAGAGGGTAAGCATACTCCAGCGGTTCCCAGGGCATGTCTGAGCCTCCTTCTATCTAGAATGCTCCTGCTTGCATAGCTGCCGGGGTCACAGACATCACAGACTGCACCCTCAGAGTTTTGTAAAAACTATCATAAAAATCTTACTTATTCATTAAGCAAAAAATGTTAACTCATTATTGCTGTATTTTTGATTTCTCTTGATGCTGTTTGATAACATTTTAACCATATTTAATCATATCTCGGCAACAATCCCATTTGTTCTGGTCCTCTTGAATGCCAGTGACTGGAAGGGGATCACCTTTCCTCACGGACCACCAATGGCTAGACATGACGTTAGTGGTTTCTTCGTATGTAGGAGCTTCTTCACATGGACTCTCTGAGGGTCCACCCTTATGAGTTCATTGTTCCCAGTTTTATAGCGGAGTATCAGTGTTCCAGAGGTTTAAAACCAGCCACACATAGTTCAGGATGACCTGGTTAGACGCCTCTGGGCACAGAAATGGGTGACAGGGGCTGGGGGTACAGCAAGAGCATTGCTCAGCTCTTGAGCAATGAATTTGATCCCATGCACTGCAAAAATGAATGACTGAACTAAGAATGAAATGGCTGAAGTCAGTAGAGTATGTCCTGGTCTGTTTAAATGTTTTAAGAGAATATAATCACACGGCTCCAACCAGATCGAGCCAGTAGTGGTATGACAGATCTCTTGGCTACCACTAAACATGGATGGCAGCAGTTAAGACATATTGGACAAGGCCCAATGACTCTCAGACAGCTTTGTAATTACAGCTCGAGGGCAGAGCTATCGTAAGGCCTGACAGCCTGCATCCTTTCCCCTGCACGGTGGACAGGAGAATTAACGACTAAAGACAAATTAGCTAATGAGAGATGCAATCAGCTTAATGGTTGTGGTGATTATCGTTTCAACAATATTAAAAGGGTTTGGGGAATGTTAATGCTCAGTTCAAATAACTAAGAAATATTACTCTCCAAAAGTGGCAAAGCAGGCTACCCTAATGACAGTAATTTCACGAAGGAATGCAACTAGGCAGAAGCCTGAACTCTGTGTGTGTATGTGCACGGGCATGTGCGGGGAGGTCAGAGGACGCCCCGGATGCCGGGTCTCCCTTCCCCCTCACTGGGAAGCAGGGCCTCTGATGTTTTGCCATCGCACTGTGCACCTGGGCCAGGCTAGCTGCCTGGGAACTGCAGGGTTAGGCTTTCCGGATCTCCTCTCCTGCCGGGAGTGCTGGGCTTAGAGGTGTAGACTACTCTGCCCACCTCTATGTGGATTTTGTCTGTTTTAACCCAGGTCCTTCACGCTGCAGCGGCAAGTGCTTGTATCCTCTGAGCCATCTCTCCAGCCCCCAGATCCCAAACTTTCTAAGTTATTCAACTTCGGGGCAGCTAAGTAATCTCCCGACTTTCATTTCAGCAGGCCATTTGAGGTCAAGTGTGAGGGGTGTGTGCAAGTTTATGTGCACGAGCTCATGTGACTGTGTGTGAGGAGGCCAGAGGCCAGCCCAGGGTAGTTTCCTGCTGTTCTCCACCTTATCTGACAGGTTCTTTCACCGGACCTGGAGCTCCTGATGGGCTGGACGGGCTGGCTAGCAGGTCTCCGGGGTCTGTCTGTGTGTTCCCACCCCTAGCACTGGGCCTACAGGCATGCTAGCTTTTTATGTAGGTTCTGAGGATCCCAACTCAGGTTAACCTATCAGCTCCAAGATGAATTCTAACTACCACAGCGTCTGCCTTTTGGAAAGGCCATGAGTTCACGGAAGTGTGCTCAGTATCTGAGAGAACAGCACAGAATGCCCAGGCCCAAGGTCAGCATACTCCCCAAGATCCCATGGAATTTATTTTGCTTCCCACACACTGCTAAAGAACAAGTGTGCTGGGTCCAAGACCTGTGGGGAGCTGAGGTGAGAGGGCCGCTTGAACTCAGGAGTTCCAGGCCACCCTGGGTGAAACAGCAAGACTCTATCTCAAAGAAAAAGAATATTTATGTGTAATTCTACATAGATTAGAATCCAGGATATGAAAAAGAAAAATTTTTAACTTTTTTTTTTTTTTTTTTTTTGAGACATGGTCTCTCTATGTAATTCTCTCTGGCTGGCCTGGAACTCACTATAGAGACCAGGCTGGCTTCAAACTTACTTAAATCTGCCTGACTCTGACTCCCAAGTACTAGGATTAGAGGCATTTGCCACCATGGCTAAAGAGTAATTTTACGACTTATTTGTGTGTGTGTGTGTGTGCCCACAAGGCTGGAGGAACATCGGATTATCTGGAGCTGGAGTTCTCGGTGGTTCTGAGCTGCCTGACATGGGTGCTGGGAGCCAAACCCAGTGCTCTGAACTGCAGAGGTGCCTCTCAACAGCTCAAAACTTTCAAACTTTTTAGAAGCGAACACAGAGATTGTTTTTATTGCTTGTGGCTAGAAAAGAATGCCAAATATGGGAAAGATTGAAAAATACACTACTGCAGTTCTATGAGACTCACAGTAAAACACAGACACAACCAGCCGTGGGGCAGTGCTGCGCTGACAAGGAGATGGGGGCACAGAGAGACTCTGGACGACCGGGGCTGGGTGTGGGGTGTGGTTTAGTGCAGGGTGTTTGCTGAGCACGCACAGGGCCCTGGGTTCCGACACCAGCGCCATGCACACAAAAAGTGCTGGCACTAACTCATGGGCAGAGTGAATTAGTTCGAGCTCTTTGAGGGGAATGCAGGAGTGTTTTCTTACTTTAACTTCCACACAGCTCATCAGGCATGGTGCTGTGTACTCATCACAGCCCTTGGCAGGCAGAGACAGGAGGACTGTGGCAAGTGTGAGGCCAGCCTGGGCGATCTACAACTTCCAGGATAGCACCGGGGCTGCACACAGAGACCGTTTCGAAACAAACAACAAAGGTAACTATGGCGCACATCTTCTGCTTACATCACGGGGGACGTTCTTGGCTGTCATGTTAACTTTTTGGTTGTTACAACCAAATGCCTATCCTCAAGAGATGGAAGGTTTGTTTTGATGCATAATCTTCGAGTAAGTAATGTCTAAGGTTGCTTGGCCTGCCGTGCTTCAACAGAACATAATAGTGGCGGAGGTTTCTTCATCTCATCGCAGAGAAGTAGCAAGAAGGCCATGATAAGATACAGCCTTCAGTGGCATGGCCCCCAGTGACGCGCTTCCTCCAACTAGCCCATGCCTCCTAAGCTCTCCAGAACCTTTCACAGCAGTGTGACCAGCTAGGGACTAATAAGCATTTAGCACAGAAGCCAAGGTGACGTTCATATTCAGCTCATAACTCTTGTGTTAAAAGAACTTTCTTGTATCCACTCTTTGCAAAAGCAAGGACTGGAAACAACTCAGTCCATAAAACAAGAATGAATAAACAAATGATAGCATATTTATACAATAGGAAATGATTCTGAAGCTAAAATGAGTGAACACAAATAACATATCAACACAAATAAATCTCAAGAAAATGTTAAGTAGTAGGAAAGGCAAGAGAGGAAATGACATGTATAGTACAATTTATATAAAGCTTAGAAATAAGAGAAACAATCCATGTATCATTTGGGAATATATACATGTATACATGTACAGAACACTTAAACACATATGGCAACCTAGAAACCTAAGTCAGAATAGTGTTCCCTTCTGGGCATGGGGCACGGCATGAGGGAAGGGTGGGGATCTACAGGGGGCTTCAGCAAGAACGGTAATGACCTACTTCAAATTTGCAGAGATGTAGAGCAAATGTGGGAACATGGTACGAACTTCACTGACTGACAATCTTAATTATCAAATTAAAAAGTATTTTAATTAAAAAATAAACCTTTTGATTTATTTTCTATACATTTTTTTAACAAGAAAGATTCTTTCTTTTTATTTTCTTAAAGCATGCCTTTTGAGGACTGGCAAAACCTCAACTTCATCTTCAACACCATCTACAGACAGAGCCTTGTCTGTCAAAATCAAAGGTGTGGCCTAGCATTTATCTACTGGGATGAAAATCTATTTCAAACATCTGGGAATGCTTGCTAGCTTTTCTACTTCCCAGACATGTATTAAATGCATAAATAATTGAATAGACTTAGGTGAAAGAGTTTTGAATGAGCCAGCCAGACAGCTTAAGGAGGTATGACACGCTCATCCTGGCCAGTCACAGGAAAATCCCATCTTGCTAGACAGCTGAGGAGATGGGAACGCAAGCTTGCTATTATGGGAAGCAGTGTCACCAGGCAAGGTGGGAACTAGTGCGATGGGAAGATAAGGGT